AAAAGAGTCCCTCATCTAGCAACATCATGATTTGGCATTTTTTTAAGACTTGAAGGCTGCAAATCAATACCTGTCTGGATATGTTAAAGGATTGTTTTATTTGTGGTAGTTAACCTGAGGAAAAGGATCCATGATGGCCTTTAAGCCCAGGCTCCCTAGTGCGCTCAAGTAATGCAGAACATGTCTGGAACGGAATGAAGGATTTTGAAGCCAGAATCATCCTTGTAATGTCAGTTACCAACAAAGTGAGGCTTTAAGGCCACAGCATCTGAAGACAGAATTCCGGTTTTCCTTTGGCTAACCAGGTATGATCTTCTAACACTAAACAGCAAAACCGACACTCCTAGTTTGAGTATTTACCATGTAAAGGGAAAAATAGGTGTTACTCCTTGACCACACTTTTTAACTGGTGGAGACTCGTTTATGCAAGAAAACATGCAAGATGAGCAATAACATATCCCTGTTTTCAGTGTAAGGACTGCATTTGACAAGCCACTAACAAGACATGCAGCTACAGCTGGAGGGAACCAACTTCAGGCTTCATTGACCTGAGAAAAGAGGTTCTTCTGCCCTTCTCAATGTTAAGAGCCAACTAACAAGCAACCCATCTATTTCCATGGAAACCCACTGTCAACCACCAAAACAGAAAAGTAACCAAATGTATCTTTTTCTCCCACAATCCAATATTTTTTTGGAGTAAGAGAGTTTATCAAATGTGTGATCAGCGACAACGTATTTGCTCACATAATATTTTTGTACTTTTTATACACAGAAGAGAAAAAGATGGACATTATGTAGACCTGTAGAAAGCCTTTGACCATTTGAACTATGAACATTTACTTCACTGTGTGATTTTTTTGTATTCTATCTGTTTTTAAATGGATGGTTTGCCTGGTGTACAATTTATCAGTGCAATTTCAAGTCAGCATATTGTGGTGGATTCCTTCGATCCAGATGAGAGCTCTCTTTGCATTATTTGGCCACACTTGCAGAAAAGCACAGAAGAGTGAATCACTGCACTTCTTGTTGAGGTCAGACATTTTGTCTGGAAATGAACTTAATCCAGACTTGAAAGGTTTTTCTGCACTGATTTCTGTGCAACAACATAAACAATGTATGGTCAGTTATCACCTCCTTTGAAGAAACTCATGCCTTGCCCAGCAGAAAATTTAAAAGAAAAAAAAAGACATTTTTGTTTACAATTGATCTTATCTAGGCTTCCTGGGAGATCCTGATCCAACCTCCTACCACAGCTGGAATTTAAAACTGGAATTTGGTCATCTTCATTCTACCGAATTAGTATGGAAAATAGTGCACCGAATTATTTCAGAAAAAGAAAACAGAAATGACGGTCATTCAACCTCAACTACATACCACTTCTTATTAAGAGGCAGCAATTAAGTGTATTCTAATGTACATTGAGTTAAATACATGCTACTACTTTAATTTTAGAACTTTAATTTACATTCGGATTTCCTTTCCTGATGCTGAGTAGGAAGGATGAGGAAAATGTGTTTTACTGAATGCTGTATTATTTTTAAACTTAGAAGAGAAAATAACATTTGTGTGAAGCACTCACTTCAAGTGAGGCAACCAGCCTCACTTAAAGTTTTAACTTTATTCCTTGTAAAAAAAATCCTTGAAATCACATAAACAAGGACTATAAGAGACAACAGAGTGTTTCCTTTCTTAGCACAAGCTTGATTCAGTCTTTCATTATGCATTTTACATATTTAAGATAAAAGATGGAATGGTTTGCAATGTAAACTCTTACATGAAAACAGGTATCTGCTCTCAACCTTTATGTTTCATTTGTGATTTCTATGATCAATGTTTTATTGTGATAACATAAATATCGTACATTTCTTCAAAATTAAGTGTAACTTCAATACACTGCAATTGAAAGGCAAGAACTGTATTTTACAGAACTTGCTTAGCTCTGTAAAAGAAAAGACAAAACATAGCTATGCATCACTAAAAAGAATGGCCACTTTCAAAGCCATTTTGGCACAGGATTAGATTAAGGAAAACAAACTTGAGAAGGACATGTATCACCTTGTATCATCTGCCTAATATACAACTATGTCTAAGTACAAAACTGCAATATCCTAATATCTGAATTTCTTGAAGTATATTTTGTTTATTTTGTTAAAAAAAGGAAGAAAGTTACTATGGTAACTTTTAAAATGCGGAAAACAATGTTCAGACTTTAATTTACCTCCTGCACCTAATGAGTAGCTCACATTGAGGTTGCTATTCTCTCTATTCATCCTGAGCTTGCCCTAGTTAGTAGGAAAATTTTCACTGGCTTCAAGAAAAGGAAAAGCAGGCCTGATGAGGCACTTTTTCAAAGCTACTTAGATACTGAAAGATGCAAATAAACAATTAACAATATTTGCTAAAATACCTGCAAGCTCATGACAAAATTCCCATTGATTCACTGAGCATAAAATAAATTAAAATATACAGTCCTGAGATGTGCCTCAGCGTGGTGTTAATAAAATGATCTTCTGATACTGTAATCTTGGACTCATGTTTTATTTTACATGCAATGGGACAGTTTTGAAAATCCTTCTGATGCTGAAAATCACTGTGGTGGTGATTACAAATTTCCAAGTCTTGGCACATGATATGCCTAAAAATGTTGTCAGAGCACTACCAGTCAGAGATGACAAAGTTACATCTGACCTAGATTTAAAAGATCCTTTGCCCATGGTTTGCGCAATTTTTACCAGCCAGAGGGATGGAATACAGCGGAAGTAAAGAACATAAAAAAAATGAACATCAAACAGCCTGAAGAATCCTTTAGATCTGACTTTCCCTGTTTTGTTCAGAACTTAGTTTTCTTTAGAAAATGGACTATTTCTGCTTTTTATATTAAAAGAAACCAGATACACTAACAGCAGATTGCATAATCTTATGTAATAAATTATATACAATTTAGTAAGGAATTTATTTCACAACTTAATTGGCAAGGACCACTTAAGGGCACCAGTCTGTTATAGTTATAGGTGTTTTTCTCTTGTTGCAATATAGATTATTTCACGGTAGTTGCTTCTTCATTTAAGCAACAGTTAATTTGCCGAGATAATTACTATGCTATATTTATTATTATTTTAACATTTACACGCCTTTCTGTAGAAATATATTCTCTTTTACTTCTCCACAGTTAAGGGGATATTCTAATCCCTAAAAAAAAAATAGAAAAAAAAGGGAAGAGAAACAAGGAGGATGTTATTATCTTGTCTATCCCATCATTTCTGATGAATTAACAAACCTGTCACTATTGATGGCTTGTCATGACCAGTCATTTTGTTAAAGAACTGGTGCAGATAAAATGCTTGCAGCCAGAGACTGTTTAGATGCTTTGTCCTACAGACCTACTTTGTGCGGTATTGGAGAGTAATTCTGTTTAAGGTATTGGCATTGTCTGGACTTCTGTATATCCTAATGCTATTTCTATGATTTTCACTTCAGATGCGTTAGTGGTAGCAAACATTCCTACCAAACTTTAGAGAATACAGTATGGCCAATGAAAATGTTAGCAAAAATACATCAGTGTAGTTGCAATCTATTTTCAGATGGTCAGGATCTGCCTAGAAGTTTTACAGACATAGCAGGTTACCCTGCAAGTAATAAGCATTTCAAGAGAAAAGTTAATGCAGTTTCTAATTAAAATCAATGCCCCATTTAGCAAAATGTTGCTTCCTGACAGATCACAGAACTGGAAATGCAGAAAATGAAGAACTGAAAGGACTTCAAATCCTCAAGTCTGAGAATGCTACAGGGTTAATCTAGTTTTCTTGAGGACACTTATGGGTTGAGAGCAGAATCAGCTGCTACTGAAAGAAAATGAATGCGCCAGCTAAATTGAGAACTGGATCAGGAGTGGCTGAGAAGAGCTGTGGATGTGAGGGACCCTGAAATAGATGATGTGAAAAGGCAGCAAAAAAAGAGGAAGGGAAAAGGGCTAGCTGCTCCAGTGGCTAGAGAGGGGGACAGCAGGAGATGCTGGAAAGAGAAAAAAAATCTCAGGCGGGCTTTAGGGCGAGCTCTGAAAGCACACTATTTTGTTGTTGGTGGTTTCTCCTCAGAGAATGTCAATGGGTCTCTGGTGTAAATTTGCACCCATATATTCATCTTCTGCCTATGATTTAGCTTTCAGCCTGATTGTCAAGAGAACACATAGACATGCAGAGCCTGCAAAAGAGCTTTAAACTGATTTTTTTCTAAGTTAGATGAGCAGTTATTTCCAACCTTTAGAGATTGTTTGGACCTCCCCACAAGAAACTACACAAATCTGGGAGCTCCTTCCTGAAGGGCCCAGTGACAAGACCAAGCTCGCCGAGATCAGATGCATTTCTAAGCCTGCCTAAAGCGGCGACGAGATGGCCAAGCTGGATCACTGCAACTTAAGCCAAGGCAAAAACCAAAGAATAACAAAAACAACCATTCTGCCTCGAAATGTGTCCTTTTATATGTACAAAAGCCGCAAGGGAGGCGGTCGGACACCACGGCAACGCCGCACACCGAGGCGGCAAGGCCAGCCAGGGCAGTGCCCGCGGCGGTTTAACGGCCGCACGCTGGGGTTTAACGGCCGCACCTCGGCGCGCGCGCCCTCCCCCGCGCCGCGCTGCGCTGCGCGGGGCGGG